TAAGAAAAGGAAGTACGTTTTTTAATCTGTTTGCTATACAAGAGGAACCTAATTTATACACCACGTTCAATAAGGATATGGGTCTCCAATTTTTCAAATAATGTCTATCTTTTTTTCCTTTGGGAATTAAAGTGATGACTCCTAACTTCTGTGTATAGGACATTCCGGATGAATATGCAGAGTTTAAATATCTCACTAAAAATATGTTTAATTCTTTCCAAAAATGTTTGAAAAATTCGACGGTGTATCCATCTAGACCAGGTGAATATTTTTCATATTTATAAGTGCTTGATGAACTTCATCGATGGAGAGTTCTTCTGTGACATTGAAGCGGTTAATTTACTTATATCTGGATCATTTAATATTGTATTTAAGTCTACATCAACAACAGGATTATTTTTATACAATTTAGAGTAGAATAATACAACTTCTGATATAATATCATCATGCGATGTTATCTCCTTGCTTTCAGTAGTGACCAATTTGCATATACGTTTTATATTCACAGCATTTCTTTTTTCTAAATTCAACAAATATTTTGATGGTTTCTCGCCATATTCCATCCATTTAATTTTAGACCTCATCTTTATTCCTCCCATTTTTTCTTTTCTTAGTGATTCTAACTGAACTTTCTTTTCATTTAATATGACTAAAGCTCTATTTTTGTACGTTTTTGATATCAATGCCTTCTCCAAAGCTATAATTTCTTTCTCTAAATCATATTCTAAATTTACCAATCTTTTTTTCTTTCTGGCTGAGTATAAAATTGTTTCACCTCTAATTATAGTCAACAACGTATCAAAAAATAACTGATCATTTACAGTAAATTCATATTGTGTATCTTGTCCTTCTACCTCAAATCTATTTGCATTGTTATTATATTGGACAGAATAGGTCTCAATCGTTTGTTGAATGACATCTTTAATTTTTTTCCACATAACTATCATCCCTTAACAACGAATTATTGAATTTCCAGTAACCTCGACCTACCATACAATGATTTAAATCCAAAGATAGCTTGACCAGGGAATGATCGGATCTGTACCCAGGTAAAATTTCTATTTTATTAACGAGTGACAGTAGTTCAGTGGAGACCAAAAAATAATCCAATCTAGCCGCCTTAAAGGGAGTAGGTTGCCGCCATGTAAACATTTTTTCCAGGACATGTAATTCTCTCCATGGGTCTATCAAATCTAAATCATTCTTCATTTGATCGACTTTTTTCTTGGCATTAGGATTATTAAGGCGAATATAGTTATATGTATCTTTATCAAAATCTTGAACCAAGTTCCAATCTCCGCATAAAATTGTTAATGGATTATCAAAATCCAAAGCAAGTCTTTCAATATCTGCATAAAAACTAACACTATCGTGCTTAGGACCATACAAGGATATTAATGTTATGTCATAGCTATATATCTGTAGGTCTAACGCAACAAAATTCCCTTCTTTTGATCGCTCAATCTTATTTATATTAAATTGCACCCCTTCCCCAAACAAAATAGCAACACCTCTGGCATTTGACGCTTTATGGCTGAAAAAACTATTATCTCCCCAAAATCGTTTTATAGAAGCTCCTTCCTCAGCTACAAAATGTGTATCTTGCAAGCAACATATTTGGAACGTTTTTAACTTAACAAATTCTAAAACATCATTTCTTTTTTCGCTATTTCCCAAACCTCGACAGTTCAAAGAAATTATATTGAAACTAGCCATTGAATATTAACTTTACCTTGGTACTATGAAAATCAAATCCTGTGGAGTTTTTCTTTTGTAACATCAAACAAATAACACTGACCGCACTAAGCACTAGTCCACCGAAACAGCTTACAATGCAACACCTATGACAATAGCGATGTCTAGCACAAACGAAACTACAAAACAAAAACACATATGTCTCTGATAGCGAGACAAGACGCAATACCAAGAAAGCCACTATTTTTTATTTGTTATGGCTGTAATTATTTTGTCCTGTAAATCTATTAAAGCATGCACAGTTGCATGATTTAAGCGGAATCCATATTGATTGTTGATAATATAATTATTGCTACTCAGATAAGAATAAAGACGTTTGTGCATACATTTTTCAAGTATTTTAGACAGAGAAGGTAAGATTGAAATAGGCCTGTAATTTTCAAAAGCATGACGATCATCTTTTTTATAAACAGGAACGATTCTAGCGATCTTTAGTTTATCTGGAACAATTCCAGTAGCCAAGGATTGATTAAAAATATGTGTTAATGGTTTGACAATTGCATGGACAATTCTTTTTAAAATGACAGAGCTAATAGAATCAAATTCACATGAGTTGTTATTTTTCAGTTTGTACAATTTTCAATAATTTCACTTTCATTTATAGATGTTAGATATAAAGAGACAGCACTAAAATTTTTCAGATAATCCTTTAAATCTGAGGATACACAACTATCATCTTCGAGCAATGAAGTAATTGCTTTGAACATTAAATTATTTCAAAAGGAAATCAGATTTTGTTAAAGCTTTGGTATGTAGGTCTAGGAATGTTGATAAATCCAGATTAAGTGAAGCAATTTTATGCTCATTTACTGGTAAATTGTTACTGTTTTCCTATACTAGTGTACTTTGGAAAAACTATGTGTCTCTGACAATTTTTTGCATCTAACATGATTTATTTAAAACACTTTTGCCAATTAATTACTAAATGCCCCCTTTCATCTCATTCCAAGCGCCACTTCTCTCTAATTCTCTATCTCTCTCTCTCTCTATTTATACTGTACATAATCATTCTCACTCATTAATGAATTCATCTGTCAGTACCATATAGTACAATCACAACCACAATTTAATGAAAGAAATCTACAAAATAAATGTATGCACAGAAAATTTTATTACTAACAAAAATAAACAAATAATAACTGTAAAAAATATTCATATAATCAAAGACAAATCAAGTTATATCTTTCTTTTACAAAAATGAATATTCATTATTTACAAACATAAGTACAAATAATGAAATACATGTCTATGATTCATATACAATCCACTTGTGTAAGGCAATAGCAAATAATGGAAAATTGTATCCCCTTTTGACCAAATCTGGACATTTTCAAATATTTACGAATATAAATATATACAAATAATGAAAAACATATGACGATACATATACAATTGATTGAACCAGCCAATAGCAATACCATGTCTTGAAAACCGGACATTTATTATCCCCTTTTGACCAAATGCCAAAATCTGGACATTTTCATAATTTACAGATATAAATAAATAAGTACAAATAATAAAATACATATGAATAATACATATACAATTTACTCCACTTGTGTGAGCCAATAACCAAACCTGAAATATTTATCCCCTTTGACCAAAGTGCCAAACCGGAAATATTTATCCCCTTTGACTAAAGTGCCAAACTGGAAGTTTTTATCCCCTTTGACCAAATGCCAAAACCAGAATTTGTTATCCCCTTTGACCAAATGCCAAAACCGGATATTTTTATCCCCTTTGACCAAAGTGCCGAAACCGGAAATTTTATCCCCTTTGACCAAATGTCAAACCGGAAATTTTTATCCCCTTTGACCAAATACCAAAACCAGTAATTTTTTTCCCTTTTGACCAAATGCCAAACCAGAAATTTGTATCCCCTTTGACCAAAGTGCCAAAACCAGAAATTTTTATCCCCTATGACCAAACGCCAAACTGGAAATTTGTATCCCCTTTGACCAAAGTGCCGAAACCGGAAATTTTTTCCCCTTTGACCAAATGCCAAACTGGAAATTTTTATCCCCTTTGGCCAAATGTCAAACCAGAATTTTTTATCCCCTTTGACCAAAGTGCAAAAACCGGAAATTTTATCCCCTTTGACCAAATGCCAAATCCGGAAATTTTTATCCCCTTTGACCAAATGCCAAACCGGAATTTTTTATCCCCTTTGACCAGATGCCAAACCAGAATTTTTTACCCCCTTTGACCAAAGTGCCAAAACCGGAAATTTTTATCCCCTTTGACCAAAGTGCCAAAACCGGAAATTTTTATCCCCTTTGACCAAAGTGCCAAAACCGGAAATTTTTATCCCCTTTGACCAAATGCCAAAACCGAAAATGTTTTCCCCTTTGACCAAATGCCAAACTGGAAATTTTTATCCCCTTTGACCAAATGTCAAACCAGAATTTTTTATCCCCTTTGACCAAAGTGCCAAAACCGGAAATTTTTATCCCCTTTGACCAAATGCCAAATCCGGAAATTTTTATCCCCTTTGACCAAATGCCAAACCGGAATTTTTTATCCCCTTTGACCAGATGCCAAACCAGAATTTTTTACCCCCTTTGACCAAAGTGCCAAAACCGGAAATTTTTATCCCCTTTGACCAAAGTGCCAAAACCGGAAATTTTTATCCCCTTTGACCAAAGTGCCAAAACCGGAAATTTTTATCCCCTTTGACCAAATGCCAAAACCGGAAATTTTTATCCCCTTTGACCAAATACCAATCCGGAAATTTTTATCCCCTTCGACCCAAATATCAAATTCTGAAATTTGTATCCCCTTTGACCAAATACCAAACCGGAAAATTTTATCCCCTATGACCAAATGCCAAACTTGAAATTTGTATCCCTTTTGACTGAAAGCCAAACCGAAAATTTGTATCTCTTTTGACCAAATGTCAAACTGGAAATGTTTATCCCCGTTGACCAAATGCCAAACCGGAAATTTTTACCCCCTTTGACCAAATGCCAAAATCTATTGAATTTAACCCAGGCCAATTTAATGACCCTTCACCAAATGCTCAAATCTGGTATCATTCATTATTTACGAAAATAGATAAACTTTATACAAATAAGACATACATAATTATGTACAATAAACGTACTAAATGATTCCAATTGCATTAGCCAATAGCAAAACCAAATGGTAAAATGAGAACAGGTTATTCTATCTGATTTTACAGATAGCTAACCCATACGTAAAACATGTCAATTCAGTCCTTCTTTAACCCAAAATTAAACATTCCAATGTCCTTTTATTGTGATAACGTGACGCACTGCGAGGATCGGTCGGATGAGCTGGATTGCGGTAAGCAAAATAATTCAGATGGTGATAATAATATTAGTAATGATACAAAAAACAGCCATAGTGCTGAAATAATAATAATAATGATAATAATAATAATAATAATAAATATCAATAAATTTCCACGCTTTCTGTCATATTATATAAATAAAGTATGTGACAATAAAAGAAGATAATAATACTAATGTTATCATTAGTGTAATTATCAGCATTAAAAGCAATAGCCCTTGGAGCAGTAAGAATCTGTGAAAGAATGTCAACGGAATGATGATTTACACAAAATTCTGACTACAGAATGAAACAATCTTGGAATGAAACAATTTATTTTTAAAGTAGCGAGATGAATGTTCTAATTCCAACAAAATCTTGTAAATTATAATTTTATATCAAGTGATTGTAAATTTACAAGCGCAAAAATGCTGACTATGAAAAGCATTTTCATTTCATTCTGTTGGATGTTATTTTTAACCTGGCTTTTTACAGACGATCAGTGTATTATGATGATAATGTTATTGATTTTAGTTGCATTTCTTTCTCTAAATGCAGCACCCTACAACTGCAATACGGGCGAATTCCGGTGTGATAACGGTCGATGTATAGCATATGGGCTCAAATGTGATTTGGTGGATCATTGCTTTGACAAATCTGACGAAATGTATTGCGGTGGGAAGCTGCCTTTTCGGCTCCTGACATTTATATTCCTTCTGTTTGTCTAATTTACGTATATTAGTTATGTATTACTAGGACCTTATTCTAATCATTTTTTACTCCTCACAGAGAATGGTTTATTTTGTTTTGTTTTCAAATTATTTTCCCACTGCATTGTAAAACCTGTATAAAATGACTATATACTCTAGCCGCGTTCACAATCAAAAGAAATGTATACAAAGGGGCATTAAGTACTTTTGGGATGGAAAACTGTGAGCAGACATATTGACACAGGCCCATAGCATTGTTATCATAATCGTGGTCATTTTAGATGCTTTCATGAAATAATACTATGGAAACACTGTATATAGACTATAACGTTATTACAACAAGGTGCACTTGACAAACCTTTGATATTGTAAACACATCTTTAACCACATTGTGGTCCTGTCATCATTGCTGTTTTCGCATTTTTTTGGATCATAGCAAGTTCATGTCGTTAGCAATATCAACTGAAATGAAGAACGACAAGATTCACCGTATCTAAGATGTTTACATATATCTTTACCCCAGATCATCGGATTCATTCACGCACAATGTACACCATCCCCACTCCCTGGGGAGTATTCCTACCAAATGGTCACTGTAAAGGCATATGGAAATAACTAACACAATTGCTTTCTTCATCCTACCAGGTCCCCATTTCTCTCCTGGATGTGGAGTGGCAAATATAGATTAATGCTCTTTCAAAGGACATTGGGTCTGTGTCGAGGATCGAACTCACGACCTTTGCATGTCGAGTGAAGTGCTCAAACCACTAGACTACGATATTTTAAAGACTCTACAATGGATTCATTTAAAAGGTAGACTAATGTGTGTATTTATTCCTGGATTTTTGTTGTTGTTCAGGATCTGGATCAGATAACAGGTTCACGTGTTATAACGGTGACGAACATCCACTCTCCGTTCAATGTGATGGGATCATTGACTGCATTGGGAACTCTGCAGAAGATGAATCGGAATCGTGTGGTACGTATCATTATGTATTTGATCCAAGCTTTGAATGTTAAAGGGAAAGTTCTCCCTGATCTGAAGTTGGTTTCAATAGAAGCAGAAAAATTGGAGAAAAGATCATTGATAGTTTGAGCAAAATCTGATAAAAAATAAGAAAGTGAAGATTAAAATCAATCAAAAACAAATTGGCAACACGGCACCGTATTTAGCGAGTTTCTCTCCAATTTGCTGGTACTCAAACAATTTCTCTACCGTCTAAAGAGAATATTGTATCATACATGTCCCCTTAAAAGAATAATTCCACGTTGTTTCTACAAAGCCCCTGTATGAAAATGTTTAAATTACTGATCAGCAATTAAGAAAATGTAACTTTTCTGTACAGAGAATAAGGAAATGGACCTCAAAAGATACATCAGTGTCCCAAAAATACAATTACAAACATCTTCTCTTTTTTTTATCGAATTTTTCTCAAAACTTTCACTGATCTGTGTCTCTCATTTCTTTGCTTCTATTAAAACTAGCTGAATATTAGGTTTCAAGGTTTCAAGGTTTCTTTTCATTTCCACATGATATAACATAATCAAATGAATATGAAATATGTACAAATTCAATAACATAATATTAACAAAAAATTTTACAATTGTTTAAATTAATTGGCACAGTGGTAAAATATAGTGAAGGAGTCTATTTAAAAAGCTTGGCTTGTATTTTATAGACCCCTTGAGAATAACAAAAAGTTGCTAGTGCTCTGTAATATAGTTGGAAAATATTTGTATAAAAATGCTTTATAATCCTACTACCTCCCCCCCCCCCCCCCTCCCCCCCCCCCCCCCCCCCCCCCCCCCCCCCCACGCTACAAAACAAAACGGCTGTCTTTAACATGGGTGTATACAAAAACAAATTACAGATAATGGAAATAATAACAAATGACAACCTTCCTAGCAGAAAAGAGAGAGAGAGAGAGAGAGGAAGAGAGAAAGATAGAGAGAACTGAAGATGAAGCATGAAGGACGGGGACATTACACACTATGATTGGACTTTTCCCTATGTGTACCAAATTCAAGTAGTAAGGATGGACAGAAAGTGAATTAGAAATTTGGATTAATAAATTGTAAATTTAAAAAAAAATGGACATAATAAGATTAGATGTGGAGAAGGGAAAAGCGTCATTCCTACAATGTTGTATTGATGATGGTTTAGGGCAAGTTCAAGATAGGTCCAATACGTAGCCAATTATTGTTGAATTATTATATGAAACTGTGAACACAAATGGACATAAAATAGTTTTGTTATGCTTTGATTTAGCTCTAGGTGTACAATCATTCAATGTACTGAAATCTTAGATACAGGTGGTAACGTATGAGACAAAATAACTTGGGCTTGCCCTCAATCTTTTTTCTTTTTTTTAAAGTATTGTCTGAAGTATCATTGAGTGTCATTCCCTTTGCTTTTGATCTTGAGTTAGATTATTTTGTGATTTTGTTTATAGAATACAAAAGACTAAATGATAAGTGTTAGGATGAAGAGATTGAGTGTAGTAATGATGTATTTGCGGATAAAAGTTCTGTGTGCATGTATGGCATCATATAGTGTCATGGAGGATGTATTTCTTTGTATTTGAAATAAACCTATTCGCTTTGTTTCAGACTACAGACGACTGAATCATAACTGTGCCGATGAAGAGGTTGAGTGTAGTAATGGTGTATGTGTGGATACAGGTTCCCGATGCATCTATGGCATCAACCCTAGTCAATACATCTCTGGATGTAGAGATGTTTCTCATCTTAGGTCATGCGGTAGGTTCGCAATCTATCTGTAATGAATAATGATAATGTGATAATAATAATAATAATAATAATAATAATAATAATAATAATAATAATAATACACAGGAAAGCTTCATTAGCATCAATGGTGGTGTGTTTCACAAAGATCCTAATTCGAACTTACCTCTAAGTTGGACTTAAACATTTTGGAGAGCCATTTGTACCCTTAAAATAGAATATATTCAAAAGCAAAAATACAAGTATTTTAGACTTTTCATAAATTCCACATCAAGAACAAGAAATCTCCTTGGTAATGCCTTTTAAAATAACATTTACAAAATATTTTCAAAGATGCTAACGGCTTTCCATAATTTTTTAAGTCCAACTTAGAGTTAAGTTTGACCCAGCTCTTCCTGCAGCCCCTTCAATTATTATTACTCCAACAATTACCAGGTGATTATTTACACCTGGATGGAGAGTGGTAAATAAAGACTTCTTGCAAAAAGGAGGATAGTGCTGGACTGGGATTCGAACCATCAACCCTTGGATTGAGAGTCAAGTGACTGAACCACTCTACTTATAGACACCTCTGATATTGTTGTATTGCCCTTCATCAGAATATCGTCACAACATTATAACAATTGAAAGTTCGATGAGTTAGACGCCCTTGTACTTTTCAGAAGATGGCATAACAATTTAGAATCTTTTCATTTGGCGTCGTCTGTGCCTATGAGGCGAAACGCGAATGAACCACTGTAACCATTGGGTCTCTCCTCCCGGCATAAAACTGAATGGGGCGTGCAGGTGGACCACTACGCCGGGGTTCCCCCTACTCTTTTACATACAGTGCAGTGGGTTCTTAGCGTGCAAAGGTAGTGACTTTCCTCTACAGGGGCCTCCATTTAACATCCTATCCGAGTGTTTTCACTGTAACGGGGGAGGGGAACATTGGAACACAACTCAGGCTTCAATCATCCGCCTGGATTGGATTTGAACCCATGATCTTTGGTTCGACAGGCAGGCGCTTTACTGATCGAGCCAACTGGCCTCCTTTCGATGACTTTTATAAATCCTTTTCAATCACCGTCTATCCTTACAATAATATCTTAAAGAATATTAGATAGTTGGTTTATTACATGGGATTCTATCACAATCATTTCAACAAGTAATAGGCCTACCACATCCATTATAAAGCTCATTTTTATCTCCTCTAACTTTAATGAGATTTTAGAAGTGATAATAAACTTTCCATCCATGAAAAAGAAATCATTGAATCAAGTCAATAAGAACATGCCAACATATGCCTTTACAGGGGACTTCCAATGTCCGGACTATTCTATTAAGTGTCCTGGTTCCTACTGCATACCGTTGAGGTTCCGTTGTAATGATGTATGGGACTGTGCGAATGGTGAAGATGAGCTGGAATGCGGTGAGTTTTTAGTTGCCCTTGTATTGTGATTGGAAGACCTTATTTACTAAAATACACTCTCTGTATCAGCTATATTCTCATGATATATATATGTTTGTGCATATTGCGTAAATCATCATTTTATGAATGGTTTCATATCATTCATATATTTATGAGAGCTTCAACTCAAAGTGTGCTTTATCTATAATGTAATCTCAGATATTAGAAATGTGTGAATGCATAGGGAAATAATTTAACCGTGAGAAAATATCTCATCTGAAATTAATAATTTAAATATTACGGGTGGAAAACAGCGAAGTAAATATAGAGCCCTCAGCGTCTCATGTGAGACAGTATTTACAAAAGGCATTAAATATTTGTTGAAAAATGTTCGGTCATGTAAACATACTTTGCAGATGGCGAACATAAGAAATAAATATATCCACACTATTATTTTAAAATATATATATATAAACAGCAGGTCGGCTTTTGAAAATGTTCCCAAAGCCTTTTGTACACGCTGCCATGCGCATTGAACGATGAGGGAATAATGTTTACAGTTCGCCTTTTGCTGTTTTCCGAGTATTTTCTTGTACGAGGTTTTTTAAAGTTCTATCTGCACTGTGGAGATCCTTGACCATGGTGAAGGATAGACAGTGCAAACTTACGCGGCTGAAGTTTTAGCGAGGAGTGGACCCATTCTTCATGAAGATGCCGATTGCCATAAAATTGGGATAAAACATAGCAACGCTTACGACTAATGGATTTTACTGCCTCTTCACCCCATGGGAAATGTATACTAAATCTGTTTAAAAAACCGTCTTGTAAACCATCATCGCAACACTGTGCAGAACGAAACTCCATAAGGAGTCAGTGTCCTGTTCCTTCGTAGAGTGTACTAGAATGGCAGAAAACAGAGATGTGCGAACAAAAACAAAATGATGCAATTAACCGCCTAACTGGGAGGAGATACTTTGATAATGAAATAGATATTATTTCTAAATTACAATGGAGAACAAAAGAGCCTTCTCTTACACTTAAGAAACTACACAAATTCAAGAGAATAAATGCACAAACACACGAGCTTTTTTTGTCATTCTCAACACACTTTTTTCTTTGAATTCAGGGATGACAAACAAATTATATGGTTTCGTAAAGCAACTGCTCAAGGAGCATTTCGGTGATGATATAATTATCAACACCGTCGTCATCCACTTCAGAGAAGGACAAGTCCATTGTGCTTCTGTTGGTCTCTTCGAAGAGATCCCATGTGAAGTCCGATAGTTCAGATACGGTAGTAAAACTCGACATATCGTCATCATCGTCGCTCTCATCGCATAGCGAAGACCAGTCAGAGATCGAACTCAAGCTTTCGTCATCATAATCGTCGTCGTCAGACACGGCTGAAGGAACGACCAAGTGGGGTATGGTGTCGATGTTGCAATTCTCCTCAACTTTAAGAATTACAAAGTCGGATGGTCCACTTGCAAGGTGGAACTACAAGATTAAAGAAGGGAAAGAGAGTGAAGAGATGAATTATGCTCGAGAATGAACCACTTGTTTTCCAGTAAAACTAGCAGAGGGAACTCGAAAGTCCATCCTATACTGGAATCCCCCCCCCCCCCCCTCCCCGAAAAAGCACTACAATTTGCAGTGTATTCTGTCTGATACTAGTCGTGGCATTAATAATTGAAACAATTTCAGAAGAGCATTCGACTTTTGGTATTGTTCGAAACGATTATCTTACCAATGCAATATCATCAACTTTCACTGCGACTGGACGTTCGTTATTAGTAGATGGTGTAAACAATTTTCGCTCATTTTTGTTTTTTTTTCTTAAAAACTCATCGCATCTTGGTTTTGAAATGACACGATCTCTATC